TTTTTAATTTAATTTAATTTTTTTATTTTTTGGTGGAACTGGGGATTGAACTCAGGCCCTTGCACTTGCCAGGCAAGCACTTATTCTACTGAGCCATCTCCCCAGCCCCTAAAAAGTCCTTTCTATTATCTTTCTTTCCTTCACTGATTTTTCAATGCTCCCCTCTATGCCTCTTCTGCCTTACGATTGGTTATACAGGGCAGGACTTCTTTCAGTATCCTTTTTTTTTTTTGTGGTACTGGGGATTGAACTCAGGACCTTGTGCTTGCCAGGCAAGCGCTTATTCTACTGAGCCATCTCCCCAGCCCCCAAAAAATTTTAAAAATTAAAAAAAATAAAAAATAAAATAAGAAAATTGTTGCAAGGTCCTGAGTTCAATTCCTGGTACCACCAAAAATAAATAAAATCAGAAAATGTAAGGCAGGGCTGGAGAGATGGCTCAGTGGTCTAAAGCACCTACTTGAAACAAGCTTGGCAAAGCACAGGGACCGCGGTTCGATCCCCAGCACCACATGCCAGCCAGACCCGCCCCCTGGTGGGCTGAGCTGGCCACATACACACACAATAAATAATAAATGTAATAAATAAAAATAAATAAATAAATAAATAAAATGTAAGGCAAACCTCTCTTAATGATTGTACACATTGCTAGGACAGTAATTTTTTTTCCTGCTGAGCTCTGAGCTCTAGGCTCTCTCACTGAGCTATACAATCAGCCCTTTTTAGTTTTTGAGACAAGGTCTTGCTAAGTCACTAAGTTGTCCAGACTGGGCTGGAATTTGGGAGCTTCTGCCTCAGCCTCCCTGAGCGCTGGGATGACAGGCGCGCTGGTTTACTCTTGTGAGTTTAATACTGTAAACACTTCCAAGTGAATCATAAAAATGAATGGAAAGAAGCTAACATAAAATACACTGGACATGGTGGTGTGCTCCTGTGATCCAGGCATTCAGGAAGCTGAGGCAGGAGAATCGCTAAGAGTTCAGGGCCAACATGGACTAAACAATGAGTTCAAGGCCAACTTGAACCACATTGTGAGGCCATCTGTTAAAAAAAAAAAAAAAAAAAACTAACATAAAATGATAGGTCTTTAGGCTGAGTGTGGTGACACATACCTGCAGTCCTAGGCCCTGAGAGGCTGAGGCAGGAGTAAGGCATCAAGCTTGAGGCTATATGGTGAGTTCAAGACCAGCCAGGATATACAGTAAGACCTGGTCTCAAAAATAAATCAGGGGGCTGGAGAGATGGCTCAGTGGTCTAAAGCACCTACTTGGAACAAGCTTGCCAAAGCACAGGGACCGCGGTTCGATCCCCCAGCACCACATGCCAGCCAGTCCCGCCCCCTGGTGGGCTGAGCTGGCTACACAATAAATAAATGTATAAATAAATAATTAAAAAATAAATAAATAAATAAATCAGTAGGGGCTGGTGAGATGGCTCAGTGGTCTAAAGCACCTATTTGGAACAGGCTTGGCAAAGCACAGGGACCGCGTTTAGATCCCCCAGCACCACATGCCAGCCAGCCCCACCCCCTGGTGGGCTGAGCTGGCCAAACACACACACAAACACAAATAAATAATTTAAAAAAATAATAAATCAGTAAACAAGTTGGAGATATAGCTCAGGAAAGAGGCCCTGCTTCCAACTCCAGTTCTGAAAACCAAACCCTAAACCCAGGAGGACAAGTAGCACGTGTACACTGAGCCATGTGTTGTTCAAGGGCATATGCTGAGATTACATGCTTGAACAATGGAGCACTTTTCTTGGCACTGTTACTAGGAAGCTGGGTCCTGACACCTTGACACTCCTAGGTCATTTGTGCCTTCGTGAAAGAATTCAGTCAAGACAGCATTCTGGGAGGCTGAGGCAGGAGGATTCCAAGTTCCCATCCTGGGCAACCAAGCAAAAAAGGCGGCCATGCAGAAGTATACCTGGAGTTTGTTGCCCAGCAAGCATAGAGACTTGAGGGCCAGCGAGATAGCTCAGCAGACTAAGCACCTGCTTAGTCAAGTGCAGGTACCAAGGTTCAATCCTCGGTACCACATGCTGCGCCAGCCCTGCCCTCAGATGCACTGAGCCAGCCATGAGGCTCGGTGTGGTGGTTTATGCCTATAATCCCAGCACTGGGGAGGCTGAAAATAGGAGGATCACTATGAGTCCGAGCTGCATAGTGAGATCCTGTGCCAAATACATAGATGAAAAAAGAAATCATAAAAAAAGAAAAAAAATCATAAAGAGCTTTATGCCTTCAATCAAGAAAGTGGGCACTGCCTCCTAGATATTGATCCCATGTTTGGACATATTTTTTGGGGGGACATATTTTTATGTTCACAGAGTTACTTTTGGGACTCAAGGAACAATGTCCATTAAGGACATTTTAATAATTACCTCAGAATTGGAAAATGTCTTCCTTGTTGTTTTTAAATGGTCATTGTTACTTTAGGAGCCTTGATTATATAAGAAACCGTTTCTGGGGGGGAAAAAGCCAGGCATGGTGATGACATCTGTCATCCCAGAATTTAGGAGGCTGAGGCAGGAGGGTCCCAGTGAGTTTGAGGGCAGCCTAGACTATCGAAGGAGATTCTGTCTCAAAAGTAAGAAAAAAAGTAAAGAAATTCCCGAATATCTAAATGTAGTCTCAGGCTAAGGCAGAAAAGAACCCCTTCCTTCCTGAGAGCTTTGAGCTGTCAGTTGTGGCACCCAGGTGCACCTTGTGCATGGTGACACAGTGAGGGTGCAGAATGTGTAAGCTGAAAATGTCACTGCTCCATCTGAGATTGGACAAGTGGCTGTAAACGCAGGACCCTGTTTCACTCAAACAGGCAAAGTGTGCTAATTTGAACCTTCTGTTCCCTCAAGCTCGCTAATATGCTTGTCTAACAAAGACAGGAAACTGAGGGCTGGGGAGATGGCTCAGTGGAATAAGTGCTTCCCTGGCAAGCACAAAGGCCTGAGTTCAATCCCTGGTTCCGCAAAAAAAAAAAAAAAAAAA